TTTCATTGTATCTAGACAAAACTTACTCTAAACAGGGCTAAAGGAAAATGAGTTCTGCTGCGTGAATGTTTGCTGATGGGAAACTGCCCTTCCTCCGATACAAACTTCATCAAAGTGCACAAAGACAGCTCCTGAATAAAATATGAGCAAAACTGCAGGAACTTGAAAATCAGTGAGACAGTATTCTTAAATGCAAACCAAAGCAGGCTTTTAAGAATAAAAATAATTGAGGATCCTTCATATGCTACAGGAAAATATTTTTTGGACAATGGAAAAATTATGCTGACTAAATATTGAGTTTATCTATGTAAGCTTTAATATACAGTAGGTCATCATTACACATTACAATGGGGAAAAATTGAAAAGAACAGGTGAAATACTGCTGCATGAAGTTGTAAAAATGTTTGAAAAACTTACCCTAATATTTGAATGTTCATGATGAATCAGCTGAATAAGTCTATTACAAACATCTTTATATCGATCTTTTAGCCAACCTTTGTATTTTTCTTCTTTAGTAAGATCTTCAAGTTCAAACAAAACAACACATTTATTTCATTTTAAGCAAGTGCTCTGGATATCTAATAAAAACAATGGTGTTATTGTGTTTCCATTAGAAACTGAAATTATTTTCATACATGTTAGTTACAAGACACTTTGTACACATGTAGCTATTATCTGACTTACATCTAAGTAATCATACCTGTTTCTTTAAGATTACTTGGAATATCCAGGAATAACTCTCCCGATGACAAATATCTGGTAAATAGCTTGTGGAAAGATCGGACACATGCCAGCAGAACAGCTTTATTGTTAGTCTGCAAATCAAGAGGCCCATGGGCCACATCGCTCACCTGAGCACCAAGGGTAGGACTAGTATAAAATGGCTTTTTATTGTAAAGTTTAAATCCAAAAGTAGTCCCATGACCAATCATGGATTTGCTATTTTTTAGAAAATGATTGAGAAGAAGATTTTTAAAGAATTTTCCTATATATTTCTATGTAAAACTTTGGTCGGCCATTTTGGCCCCGCCCTACCCTCGGGGGTCATGATTTGAACAAAATTGAATCTACACTACCTGAACATGCTTCCATATAAATATGATGAATAATGGCTTTGTCATTCTTGAGAAGAAGATTTTTAAAGAATTTTCCTGTATATCTCTATGTAAAACCTTGGTCGGCCATTTTGGCCCCGCCCTACCCCCGGGGGTCATGATTTGAACAAACTTGAATCTACACTACCTGAGCATGCTTCCATATATATATGATGAATTATGGCTTTGTCATTCTTGAGAAGAAGATTTTTAAAGAATTTCCTATATATTTTGTAAAACCTTGGTCGGCCATTTTGGCCCCGCCCTATCCCCGGGAGTCATGATTTGAACAAACTTGAATCTACACTACATGAGCATGCTTCCATATAAATATGATGAATTATGGCTTTGTCATTCTTGAGAAGAAGATTTTTAAAGAATTTTCCTATATATTTCTATGTAAAACTTTGGTAGGCCATTTTGGCCCCGCCCTGGGGGTCATGATTTAACAAACTTGAATCTACACTACCTGAGCATGTTTCCATATAAATATGATGAATTATGGCTTTGTCATTCTTGAGAAGAAGATTTTTAAAGAATTTTCCTATATATTTCTATGTAAAACTTTGGTCGGCCATTTTGGCCCCGCCCTACCCCCAGGGGTCATGATTTGAACAAACTTGAATCTACACTACCTGAGCATGCTTCCATATAAATATGATGAATTATGGCTTTGTCATTCTTGAGAAGAAGATTTTTAAAGAATTTTCCTTTATATTTCTATGTAAAACTGTGGTCGGCCATTTTGGCCCCGCCCTACCCCCAGGGGTCATGATTTGAACAAAATTGAATCTACACTACCTGAACATGCTTCCATATAAATATGATTAATTATAATGGCTTTGTCATTCTTGAGAAGAAGATTTTTAAAGAATTTTCCTGTATATTTCTATGTAAAACTTTGGTCAGCCATTTTGGCCCCACCCTACCCCCGGGGGTCATGATTTGAACAAACTTGAATCTACACTACCTGAGCATGCTTCCATATAAATATGATGAATTATGGCTTTGTCATTCTTGAGAAGAAGATTTTTAAAGAATTTTCCTGTATATTTCTATGTAAAACTTTGGTCGGCCATTTTGGCCCCGCCCTACCCCCAGGGGTCATGCTTTGAACAAACTTGAATCTACACTACCTGAGCATGTTTCCATATAAATATGATGAATTATGGCTTTGTCATTCTTGAGAAGAAGATTTTTAAAGAATTTTCCTATATATTTCTATGTAAAACTTTGGTCGGCCATTTTGGCCCCGCCCTTACCCAGGGGATCATGATTTGAACAAACTTGAATCTACACTACATGAGCATGCTCCCATATAAATATGATGAATTATGGCTTTGTCATTCTTGAGAAGAAGATTTTTAAAGAATTTTCCTATATATTTCTATGTAAAACTTTGGTCGGCCATTTTGGCCCCGCCCTACCCCCGGGGGTCATGATTTGAACAAATTTGAATCTACACTACCTGAGGATGTTTTAAGTTTCATCTTTCCTGGCACAGTGGTTCTTGAGAAGAAGATTTTTAAAACATACCACCAAATTTTCATAAATTCCCAATTATCTCCCCTTGAATAAGGGCGTGGCCCTTTTAACAAACTTTTCACCCAAGGATACTTTGTGGCAAGTTTGGTTGAAATTGGCAGCGGTTCTTGAGAAGAAGTCGAAAATGTGAAAAGTTTACAGACAGACAGACGGAATGTTTGCCGGACAAAATGTGATCAGAAAAGCTCACTTGAGCTTTCGGCTCAGGTGAGCTAAAAAAAGAACTCTTACCCTTGAACACAAAACTGTCAAGTAATCGAAAGAAAAAAATCTATAAATGTCACGATAAGTTATTAAATTTTCAAGAAGGACAGGGTAAAAACAACTCAATTTGAGCAAAAATCACCCCCCCCCCATTTTTTGAAATTTTATTTTTAGACTGGCTTGCATAACCCCTCCTATTATCTTACCGCCAATTGATGCTCAAACCAGAAGTTGAGAAAACATGAATTAAATCTGTTAATGAGAGTTCAGATATTGTTTTGATTGAAATAAAAGCAAACTTGGTCAAACTTAAGAGAGCGGTTTGAAGATTTTCTTACTCCAATTCTTTCATTAGATATAACAGATGTAGATTTTAATTTATTAACAGCAAATTTTAAATTCTAAAGTATCTTATTTGCAAATTAATAATAATAATACTTATAGATTTTCAATCAAAACTTTTGAAAAATTATAAAAATTGATAATTTAAAAGACAAGTATCAATCGTTTCATGCTGAAAAGATGCATATTACATGACTTAACACCCATTAAAGTGATATATGGTGTATTTTTGACTAGTTCAGACTAACTGAAATAAATAAGATCTTTCTATTTGTTTTGTTACTTTGTACAAAGATAGGACTTTCCTGTAAATTACACAATTTAAATCAATCATGTTTCCTAGATATCATAGATTTAAAACAATCCGACTCGGAAATAAATATCAGACACAGTTTAAAGTCAATTTAACTAATAGAAACGAGGGGATATTTAAGTTCAAAATAGATTAAAATTTGAATTTCAACATACATAATAAATATCAAGTAAATCTATGCTTGATCTCGTATTTTTATTTTTTTAGCTCAGATATGCCATATATAGCTTTAACAGGTCCAGCACAATACCCTGATAAAGGTATATAGATTGATAAAGCTTTATAACTTTATCAAGGTATTACAAATACTTTGATTAAGTATTTTATGTAATGAAAATACAAAAAAAATCTCTTTAAAAATTTAATTTCAATTAAAAGTCGAATTATAAGTTGTGGTCAGTGTGTCCACTCTAGATAGAATGTTCTATCGTTAAAATGATATTGTCCTACGGACCTGGTTTAACGATAGAATTCGTTCCGTGTATTCGTAATGTAGCAGAAAGAAACACGGGTGATAACTCGCATAGTGCATTTACTACGAACAATCTAGAGAGTTCCGAATGTAAACATGGAAGGTAATTTGAATCGAGAGAAAAACGTTGAGAAAATTAATTGGATTTTCGTATTTATATGGATTATTTTTTGGGATAAAAGGCATAAGCAATCTCATGAAGGTTTGTTTTGATTATTTTGGTAGTTATTCCCAGTGCAAATCATTTTATATTCTTCAAAATCGTTTCGGAGCGGATCCGCTCCGATTTGCTACATTGCAAGTATATGGGACGTATTCTAACTGTGGTGAGGGCCTGTACCGAGACAAAGTTAGATTATTCTAACTATGTCCACTCATGCGTGAAAAGTACTCTGGTATATATTCAAAAACTCTGGAATCAAAAAGACAGCATAAAAGAATGTCTCCTCACAGGACATGCTTCTATACTGATTTATTGTGTTTGAGTACTTTACATGCATGAGTGAATTTACTGACAACAACTTAGATATTAATTTTTTTTTTTTATTTTATTGTCATTATATAAAATATCTTGATCAAGGTATTTGTAATACCTTGATTAAGCTATATACCTTTATCAAGCTATATACCTTTATCAGGGTATAGTGCTGAACCTGTTAAATAAAATTTTGATGTAGCACAGCTGCACTCCACTTAACCAGTCCCTTGTCAGTGTAAATAAAACAACATAAAAGAAAATGATAAATATGGTGAGTAAATAAATCATATGGAATTTAACCTCAGAATGTGCAATGATATCTAAGAGACAATTGGCATGCTTTCGGCTCTCAAAACATTGTTGAGTCTTGCTTTTTATCTCTGAAATAGCACATGTGTCTTCATTGTCCACCATGCTGAAAAATTTAGCCAATGAAAGTGGTTTATTTTGTTTCTCGGAACTTATCAGCTAAGGACCATCTCTGACCTCTCTAAAATTTGAGAAATCCGAAAGGAATATTGTCTGCCCATGCGCAATATCCTTTTTCCGGCACCGGCGCAGACTGGATGCGTTATGTAGAAAATAGAAAGGGACATCCGCAATCATTTTTTACTAAAAGCAAACATTTAAAGACAGAAATATGCTATTTAGCCCATCAAAATGTGTCGTTGAGTAACTGATTGGGTTGGATTGAGGGTTTTTGACCGAAGATGAATTGGTTTACAAGGCGTAATTTGTAACTCATTTTCATGGTAAGTCGAAGTATTTACGCATTCAAAATGGCGCACTTTGATTCATGGGAAGGCTCGGAGTAGCAAGTGGCGCAAAGAAAAAAAAAATTATGTGTGATGATGTCTTCTATGTGAAGCAAAGCAGGAAAACACATTATCATGTAACTTCTTATAAAATAAAGGTTGTGACGCAAGACGCACTTTGCATTTACTACTATGCACCACCCTTACATTACACCATGCACCATGAGCACTCCTCATAGATGCCTGTAAAAATATATACAACAGTACCTTTGAAAGCTTTTGATGATCATGATTTATATAAAATTGCATTAAAAGCTTGTTCGTGTTGACATTTTATGCTTGACAATTACAGTACAATTTTACATAGCAGTATTTATTTCTTCAAACTGCAACCACTGCTTGCATTGACTGAAGAAAGATAACCTTATAAATCAAAGCTGTGTGCATGAACATGGGCATTCTTTAGACAGTCTGATTCCCGTGATTCGTGCCAGTTCTAAGTTCCCTGTTAGTTGCGGGCTGACACTTCATTGTCACACTCGGCCTACGCCGAATTGTGCCAGTCATGTTAGAATGTTCTATCGTTAAAATTGTATTATCCTAGGGACCAAGTTAATATATTGAATTTTTGTTTTCATATTGATTATTTTTTGGGGAAAAAAGGCATATGCCAGGTTTCAACACTAACATTTTTAGGCCTTACTGCAAGGCTCGAGCTGTGATTCGCCATTGTCGCCAATTGCGAATTTTTTTCAAAAGTGGCGAAAAGAAATTCATAAGTGGCGAAAATGAATTTTTTTATGTACCATGTACAAAATTTGAGTAGTCCTGGTTACCTCCTTTGTTTATTCAATATACACATATAAGCCCCTATGTTTATTTAATGCAGCAGAGGTGTGAAAACTGAAACCTACATGTAGGAAATCACGTATCGCTTGAACGAACACAGCTGATTAGGTAACTGGCCTGGAGCAATAAAGGGTTACAAAATTGCTTGAAATAATATAATTTGGATTAAACAAGGGGGTATATAGTGTTATTAGGATATGAGGTTAGAAAATAAAAGATTTTTATCAACAAAATCTGGATCTATGTAGATCGTTTTTTTAAAACCGAAAGTAGGGAAACATGACGAAAATTGTAAAGAATGGCTTCAAATTTTACCTAATTAAAATTGAAAAATGTGTACATTAATATACCATAAACTGACAGACAGAGAGTGAAAAAGAAATTGGTGTGGAAACAGAATTATCTTTAATTAGTAAATTACACTGAATTATTTACAATAACCCCCCCCTCTCACAGGCGAAAAAAAAAATAAACAAGAGGACATTTTCTGTCAAGAGTTGACTGATATCAATTCAGTATCAAATTTATTGTATAATTCCAACATATTTTTTTTTTTAAATGGATACTACCATAATTAAAGCTTTAAACATTACAAATTTAAAACAATGTCTGTGTCAGATAAACATACTTAAAAAAAAGGACTAACATAAAGTGCATTGCATTGTCGAGAAATCAGATGTAAGTATGCCTTTCCTTTTGTTGCGAAAAGTGGCGAAAAATATTTTTGGTCCTTGGGAGCCTGGGCCTTAGTCCAGCCAGACTAGTGCTTCTTTACTTATACTAGTCTGCGCTCGATTTTATGAGTCCGTCAAAATAGAAATAAAATGTAGAAAAAACATTACAATTTACTTTTTAAACTTCAAAAAAAAATAAACAAAGCATTCACATGAAATGTTTTACTCCAAGAATCTGGGATTCGTTGAAATCTTGCTATCAGGAACTACAATCTTATTCCCATCTTATTTGTTTTTCTCTTTACATGATTACATCATCTTAACATCTGACATCTTTCTTTATGTGTCATACTAAATTATGATCACTTAAATGTTTATCTCATACCAATGAGTCCTAAAATTAAGCACCAAATTGACTTGGAATTACCTAATTTCCAACCAAAATGCTAGAAAGCTATAAAAAATACATATGGGTTTTTCCAGTGATATTTGTGGAGAATTGAACATCAGTAAATTATTCATTTTTTCCCAAAAATTTTATTGTTAAGTCTGTTCAGACTAATTAGCCACAGATTTTATTAGTCCGAATGAAAATGTATTAGTCTGAGACTAACGTTAATGTCGAACCCTGTATGGAATCTCAAAAAGGTTTTTTTGATTGATTCGTTAGTTATTTTTAGCACAAGTCCTTTTCTGTTCTTCAGAATCATTCAAGGGATATTATATCTCGGTTAGAAAACATGGAAGGGGGCTAAACAAGGCTCTTCCTTTGGCTCTCTCAATTACCCTAGCCCAAATATCACTTAATATACCAATGGTTTTTGTGATTATTAAAATTTTAAGGTATTTTTTTCTATTAAATATATGAAGTACTTCTTTCTTGCTGACATTTTCTGCTGGCAGATTCATGATGAAACTTGAAAAACATAATAAAATTAAATATTTTCCTATAAATAACACTGAAAAGGACAATATCTGAAGAATATAATTATGAATTTATAATGGGAATTTCTTGGTATTGGAATTTTTGTGTCAATTTTATAGAGCTGTTGAAAGAATGCAGAATGATGAGAGACAAATGGCAGAGGAGCAGCATCAAAACATGGATGGAAGCAATGTGGTTTTCCAAGCTGGAGTACCACAGACAGTACTTGTTCACCATGTGCATTCAACACAACAGCAACTTCTGAATAAATCAGGTAACCTTGGTGATGTAAACCAGAGACATGCTCACTTGCAGAGGTTTAAATGATCTGCACCATCTAAAATAAGTTCATTTACCATTAATAAAATCAAGTAAATGTTGAATTCTGTCCTTATTTAATAATCAGATAAACACTGTTCAAACATAGTAAAAAAGGATAGTATTTTTTTCTTTGCACTTACTTTAGTTATATTGGTTTTTTTTCAAAATATATATGATTTTTAAAGGGGTGTGTGTACATGCCATTTATGTATTTTATATTAGATTTTAAAATAACTATTTTTATTAATTTCCCTTTTGCTAACATATGTGAACAACAGTGAAAACTGTTCATTTATACTAAATGCAGTGGAAGGGTCACCTGTGTTGAAAGATAGAGAGAACAGCTAAATACTGTAAACCAACTTTTATTCGTGTGCGAGAAATTTTCACGAGGTTTGCGAGAGCCTCATCATCGCGATTATTTCTCGCCGTTAACCGGTCCTTAAAGTCCCTGTGTCCATTAACAACAGATTCAAAAAGACTTTATCGCGAAAATTAATCGTCGCGAACTAGTTAACCCCTAGTAAATCGCGAAATAAAGTCGCGGCGAATAAAAATTGGTTTACAGTATTTACACAATTTTCTCTAAATTCATAAAGCTTTTTACTAAAATTTATAGAGGAGACAAGACCGAATGTATTGATCCTTAACCTTTACAGAAAAATAAAGTGAATGATAATAAAATGAAAAATCAAACTGAAGGATTACAACTACAAACCTCTAAATGTATTGTAAAAAGGAGAAAGTAAAACAAAATCTTGTAACCTTTGTAATTTCAGATGCATACATCAGTGATGTAGATGAGTTGCAAAGACCGACACAAGGAAGTGCCACACAAGGAGAGAGGAGTAGTACAGTAGGCACTGGAACCATTCACCATATAGGTCAAAGCCCTTCTAGTGGAGGGCAAAGCTCTCGACCCAACCTACCTCAACAACATATTGTGACTATGAGTAATCAAACACCCAAAAGCACCAGTTCGTTAGCTGGGGGTAGCAGCTCTGCTGCAGTTTCCAGTAGTAGAGCTTCAGTTGATTCAAAACCCCCAGCTTTGAATTTGACTTTTCCAAACTTGACAGCATTAGCCAATCAGAGTGGTCCATCTCCCAAAAAGAAAATTAAACTGGAAGAAAAACCAGCAGCTACGCATGAGATAGCAAATCATAGGAAATTGATTTTAGATCTTAAGTATAAAAGCATGTTGGATATAAAAGAACCATACATAGATAATCTGACAGAAATGTTCTTCCTTCAAAATGGAGGGAATCTGATGGATTTTCTTGCCTGGAAGAAAAGACCGACTCCTCAATTAGTACATTTTCTGAAATCGGGGAGTTTGGATAGTGATGACGAAGAGGAGGGTAGCTTGGAGAGGAAAATTAATAACGAAGTAAGATATCCACTTCATGAATTTGTTGCTGAAGGATAATATAACAAATGAATATTGGACAGATATATATATATTTTTTATACTACCGTTTTATATGTAACAAATGGAAAAATGCAGAGCTTTACGCAAGGTTATCACATGCAGCCGGAAGGCGCGATGTTCCATTGGCTACACCTGTAGCTATATCCACAACGTTACCCCCATCAGTAGCTGCCCTCAATCAACAAGGTAACAAACACCTCTGTATACTGTATATGCTGTGTATGTCTTTGTAGACCTTTACAAAGACCACAAAAACTTTTTTAGGCAAAATACTAAATAACACACACAAAAAAAATTTAACCAGGCCTACTTCAATATATTTTTTCTCTGCATGAATATCTATCACAAATCAATTTTGTTTTTACATGTTTCACTACTAACATTGTTTTTGTTGTTACTCCATTTTCACAAATTCATAGTGATATAAGCTCATCTTACTCATCTACACTTTTCTTTTTAACTCTGCAATCGCACGCGTATCTTTCGACATCATGGACTTGGCACATGTTTATCGATCAATATCAAAAAAAGCTTGAAAAATATATTTTAAATTTTATTTTAAAAGCGTTTGAATGACTACACTTCTAAATTAGCTGTAAAACTTGTTTTAACAGTTAACAAAAGTTTGGCGGAAAATTTCAGAACGATGTTTTAACAGTTATACTCGCAATGTAGCAAATAGTTACAGAATTGCTCCAAAATGAATTTGAAGTTTTTCAAAGGATATGCACTGGAAATACCGGTTAATTAAAAAACCTATTTTAAATCGCATATATACATTTTATACTTGTGTAGATTCTTAACAAATGAAGAATGCATTGTACTTTACAGGTTAAGGTTATCACATGCAGTGGAAGCAATGTTCCATTGGCTACACCTGTAGCTATATCCACAACGTTACCCCCATCAGTAGCTGCCCTCAATCAACAAGGTAACAAACACCTCTGTATACTGTATATGCTGTGTATGTCTTTTTAGATTTTCATTTTTTATGAAGTAGAATGTTTAAATGCACATTGTATAAAGGCCTACATCAATATATTTTGTTGAACTGCATGAATACCTATAAAAACATGACAAAGTTTTGTTTGCATACATGTTTTTACAAAATTCACTCTGGCATTGAAAATTCTATGCATCTAGCTAATTTTCACAAATAGGCATTGCTTAATGAAAATGAAGACAGTCATTCAATGTCTATTATGAAGAATTAACCAGCTTTATAAACATTGCATGTCCTCTGTGTTGTAATTAACTGTGTTTAGTGAAATCCCCGTTATAATTATGGAGTCGCCTTGAAATCTCTAGTTTTAGGGTGCTATTGTAACGGAATATAAATTTTACAAGAACATTTCGTTGTATGTCTTCCTCATAGGCATCCAGCTTGCAGTCTTGATACATTTCTACTTATGTCCCTAGATATTATTTAGATTTTTACATTCTTATTCATTAACTGTTAATAGCTTCAAGTTTTTTTGCAATCTTTAGTAAGCATTGATGTTGTTTCTTTATCTTTCAGTGAGTTAATTTTTTCTTTGAATTCTATCTCTTGAGTTTATTTTCTTAATTATGTGATGTGTGTGCTTGGCTGAATGTTGCTGTAGCTTTATTAGGAATGGGAACTTTTTCAATAAAACTAAAAAATTAACTTCATAAAGAACTTAATCTCTTAGATCTACAATAACATTTTAAATCATTACCAGAATCAAAAGTTTATTGCAATATTAAATTAAAAAAAAACATCCTGGATTAAAAAGAGAAACCTTGGAAAATTATTTGCATTCATGGCAATGTAAAATTGGCAGGGTTTGATCCACGGCGCCCAGGGGGACGACATGGAATGATTTTTGGTCATGTGCAGCATCTAACACAACCTCCTACTATACTCCCCATACTTCAAGCTGCTCCCATCATTCTGCCAGGTACACACACTGATTAGGACATTAAATAGATAGAAAGTCGGTTACATGTATTGAAGGTCTTAAAACTATTGTAATTAGGTGTTGTCGTTATGATGCATAAATAGGTACAGGTGCAGTTAGTACTGACAGCCTAGCTACTAAGAGTACCACTCAGTCTGTACCAGCTCAGAGGATTGTTACCACAAGTGTGACCACAGTAACCTTGTCGACTCCCCTGACAATGCCACAGCTCCATAGTCATCTCGCCAAGGCTATCACAGACAGCAAGCCTCCAACTGCTCAGACATCCTCCACCAAGTCAACCGTGACTGCAGCCTCACCAATGTAAATAGCTTTATCATCTTCTATGTTGATATCTTGAATGGAACTTTCATGAAAAAATTAAATAGCTTTACTCCTATAATGTTGACATCTTGAATGGAACTTTTATGAAAAAATATTATCTAGTGAAATCTTTGTCACTGTTCTTTGCAGAGTATCAGTAACAACTGCTGTTAAAACTACAAAATCACCTCCAATATCTCCCAGTGTTCAACAGCCTAAGACGCCAACTATATCAGGGGTATATGATGGTGCACCAGGTGTAGGAACACAGGAGGCTATAGTTGAAAGAGCAAAACAGGTCAGTATGGGCTTCATTTGAATCTTTATTAACCTCATCAAATGTGTTTATCAATCAGGATTTGCCACATTTATCTGTGTTCATCCTGGAAACATTGATGAGAGAGCATTGCGATCCTGCTTCCAAGTCTGGTTTTCATACCAGTTTTGGCAATGAATATTGCAACACATTGTAATATGTGTTTTCTTTCCTAAATCTTAATAATTGCGAGGTGATCCATAAAGTTTTGATTGTTCACCTGTTTACAGGAGGCACAGGTGATGCAGAGAGTTTCTGAACTGAGAAAGGAGGGACTGTGGTCAACAAGGAAGCTACCCAAAGTCCAGGAACCCCCAAGAAACAAAGGTCATTGGGATTATCTGCTGGAAGAAATGCAATGGCTAGCTGCTGACTTTGCCCAAGAAAGGAAATGGAAGAAGGCAGCTGCAAGAAAGGTAGTTCACATTTCCATTTTTACCTATTATGCTATAAGATACTAATTAGTGATTAAAGTATTGAGTTTTATTTTCATTTTCGAGTCTATCACATTGATCATGTTGATAAGATTTTCAGTTTGTAAATGCTTTGAATTGCAGTAAATTAAAAAATCCATATTGTTGCCAAAATGTTACCTAATTTTAATAAAGATAATATGCAAATAATAAATATTTTAGCTGTTCAGGTGTCTGAGTACCAAGATTTTGAAGTTAAATTGTGACTTCGTAGGTAGCAAAAATGGTATCAAAGTATTTCCAAGATCTTGAGCAGAAAGAAATAAGAGCGGAGAAGGAAGAGGGTCTGAAACTGAAGAAAATAGCTAGCCAGATGGCTAAACAGATCCGAGAGTTCTGGACCAATATTGAAAAGGTAAGAAACTATTTGGAATCTCTAAATTGTGGCCACTATTACCAAGACCAGCTATACTGATATAAATAGCTGAGTTGTGAAGATGGCCAAAGATTAATTCAAAATGTCACAATTCTATTCAAGACATTTGAAACAGTTGTGAAAAAATTGGTATAATGTTAGCTTGAGTTCAGGATTAACATACTTGTATATATAGTCTTGTACCATTGCGAGACTTGGTTATGTTTTCAGCACTGTTTGCTTTGTAATGGTGTGCACTGAAAAAAGTTCTCAATTTACTAAGTAATCTGCATATTTCAGGTGGTGCAATATAAAGCACAAGCAAGACTAGAGGAGAAGAGAAAGAAGGCTTTAGACCTGCACCTTAATTTCATTGTTGACCAGACAGAGAAGTATTCTACATGGCTCACAGAAGGATTAAAGAAAGAAGGGACTTCAATAGGAAGTGGGTCCAATGTAGCAACTCCAGCCCACAGTGATGCAGGAGATGAAGAATTCAGACCAGCTAAAGAAGATGAATCAGATGATGAGGAGACCATTGAAAAAGAGGAAGCTGAACAAGATCCAGTGAGTATTGATCACTTACTCCCTGAAACCAAGTGGTGAAAGGGGGTTTGGGGTTATTAAGTAACAAGGTACATGTATCTACATGTTCCTCTATCAATAAAGTTTGTTCAGCATTGTCACAAATGATAAAACTACATTTAAATAAATTTTTGTTTCATAAATTCTTTTGTTTGTGTAGCATTTGAAATGTACCATATTTTGATAAATTGTGAGAGGGATGGATGTGTAGTTTTCTTTTAAGAACAGTTTTGATTTCATTTAAACCATCCAAAACATATCGAAATCCCTGAATAGATTTGAAATAGTTTGTTGATTTATTGTCTGTTTATTACAGTTGAATACCAAAGCGGAATTAGATGCTTTACAAAAGGAGAGTGAACTTCCCTTTGAGGAACTTTTAAAAACATTGCCAAAAGAAGTTCTGGAGAATCCAGTTCCTGTACCATCTGATGAGGCTGATGAGGAGGTAATGAATTCTCAGTTACATAAATTACAGAAATCCCCAAGTACACTCCCATTGTAACTGAAGTCACAATGGATTATCTTTCTGGGGTAGACTAACTATCTTTGGAATAGTAGCATATCTCATTCATATGATATGCAAAATTTCTCTGATTACACTTTTGCTAAAAAAAAAAAAATGCATGATTTCGAAGTTGTTGTTTTTTTTTTCAATTGTGGAATATTAAGACATAAGGTTTGCCTTACAGGATAAAAAAGATAAAGAATTTAAAGCAACTGAAGATGAAAAAGATGAAGAAGACACAATTGCTGAACAAGAGAAACATGAAAAGAAGATAGATTATTCCAAAGAACTAGATGATCTAAAGGATGAAAGTAAATAGATTTCCTGATTTTAATTTATTGTTTCGAAAGTCTCATTAACTTAGTGTGGTAACTATGCATAATAGTGAAAAAGAGAGGTAACTCTTGAGAATGTTGCCATTGTAAACTGGGAAGGCTGTGCAATTGTCCTTTGGGAAATTCACAAAATGCATTATCTTTATCTGTCACATTGAGATTAATTACTGTACCGCCTCTGTCTGCAAATGAACTTTGTTTTGAAGTTAAGGTCAATTTTGAATGTGTACCTCTGAAATATGGATTTGAAATAATGTTCATACTTTATTTTGGTTAAAATACCGTACACAATGATTTATGATAATTTTATTGAATTCTAAAATCAAGATATATCATTGTATATTAAGATATCTTTATTTATTATTACTTTAATGCTGTTGGTAATCAGATAATCAGGTAATCAGATAATCAGATAATAACCCCATTCTGTCAGTGCTGAAAAAAGTTTTTATTGAAAAAAGGATGAGAGAGCCATTAATTATCTTGGAGAAAATTTAGAATCTTTATCTGTCACATGAAGATTAATGAACACTTTTGTCTGCAACTGATGTTTGTTTTGAAGTTGAGGTCAACCCTGATATTTGCATTCAAAGGATTGCATTTTATAAAACACCTGCTTAAATCTTTTTTAAATACACATTTAATTTAGTTTTTCTTTATAAGACAAGAGGTTTTCCTTGTTTTATGTAAGTACAAGGTTACTATTTACAGGTTTTTGGACATTCAGGAATTATCTTGAAATTGTCACTTATAATCTTCATAAATTTAAAAAAAATGTAATCAAGTAAAACTCTCATTCAATGAGCTGCACCCTTATATTTCTACCCCTCAGCGGGGCCCTTGCTGACTAGTCAGTTTTCTAGTTAATTTAGTGTGGTAACTACAAAAAAAAAATCCCTAACTACAAAATGTATTTCGTTTTGTAGGTGAAATGACCATGGAGGAACTGTATCGAAAGTATGCAGGGGCTTATGACAGCGATTTTGAAATGCCAGAAGAGGAGGAAGAAGACAGTGAAGAGGAAGATTCAGATGACGAAGAGGAAGAAGATGAAAGTGAAGGTAAATAAAAAAAAAATTATCAGGAAGGAATTAGCTGTGTTTTGTGTAAAAAAAAAATATATATATCGACACATAGTTACGTGGTGTATGTAATTATGAATTTTTTTATGGAAACAGAAGAAGAGGAGGAGGAGGAAGAAGAAGAAAGTATGGAAGAAGAGAGTACAGAGAAAGATGATGTTGGGTTAGAGTTCTTGACAAAGAAAGATGAGGATTCTAAATCTCAGGTACATGTCAAAAAGAAACAAAACTTATGAGAAAATTTCAGGAAAATGAGGGAAGGGTGGATGGAACTGAAATTTACTGAAATTGCTTCTTGGTCAGAAATTGGGTGAGGTACATGTAATTAGATAATCCTAATATGGAGTTGAAATATATTTTTCAGGGTGATTTTGATCAGGAAGGTCCAGGAAAAGAAATTACTGATATTGCAGCACAAGCTCAAAGTCTTCAACCCAAGGGATACACTTTAGAAACAACTACTGTAAGTGTCTATTGAATATGTATTTTGGTTTATATCATGGAGATTTTATTATTCTTCGTTCTCTACAACTTAGAGAATGGTTGTACCAGTCTCCAACATAAAATTTGCCAATTGCTTTGATAATTTTTTTCATAAAATTGTCATATCTCAAGGTAAATACATTTCACACAGTGCTTGTAAAAATTATGAACTACTTGTTAATCTTGAAATTCATATATTTGTTAAATGTGCATATATACATGCAGGTTAAAACAGCTGTTCCATTCTTGTTGAAACATACTTTACGAGAATATCAACATGTTGGTCTGAACTGGCTTGCAACTATGTATGAGCAGAGATTAAATGGCATTTTGGCTGATGAAATGGGTCTTGGAAAGACTATCCAGACTATTGCATTGCTGGCTCATTTGGCTTGTGAGAAAGGTTAGTGAAAAATAACAAGACTATAAGACTGAAAGATGCTCATGATATCCAATCAATGCATATACAATTGATGTATGTAAGAAAAACAAAAAACAAAAAAAAAACTACTTTTCAGGTATATGGGGACCCCATTTGATTGTTGTTCCAACAAGTGTAATGCTTAATTGGGAGATGGAAATCAAGAAATGGTGTCCAGCTTTCAAAATACTCACCTACTATGGATCTCTTAAGGAAAGGAAGTTAAAAAGACAGGTAAGCAAAAGGCTTAAGAAGGGGTAATTAAAGACTTGTTAGCTTTACATAGCTAAGTGGTTGAGAATCCCCTAGATAAATTGACTGTTATCATCCATTGAGTTCAGTTTGCTGCATTCAATCAGAATAACAGAAACATTGCATCAATATTCCGTTGTAACTCTTGTAAATAATGACAAATCTGTTTAAATTGTGAATTAATTTTAGGAAAGAAAAAAAATGTGTTTCACAATGTGTAAAAGATCATGTATTGAATTGAGAAACTGTGTATGCTCTATGTATTTATGCTTCATATTTAAGAAATCCCTTAAATTGTTGTGTCCCTGTCTAATTTGTTGGGTTTGCCAGGGAATCATTAATAGTTGAAAATATGGGATAAATTGCATAACAAGCTTTGCCTGTTATACATTAATTATCCCACATTTCAAATTGTTGTTGATGCCCTTGTCTAGACAGTGATTCCATATCTTTAAATTTAATAATGAAATAAATTCTTAAATGTACATGTAGATTTTAAAAATGTTATCCAGTAATATAAAACACTTGAGGCCTTCCATGTCAATTTCAATAGTACCTGCATATCTCCTATAGGCCATAACGCCTGACCTTTCACTGAGCAAAATTTACATTTAGGTTGAATTATCAACCCGCCAAACTTTCAAAGAGGTAGCACAGAGAAAGCAAATATCAATTTAAATATGGAATATACATGTACCTGTGAATAACTGCACAGAAACTTGTCTTAAAAAATGTACAATTAAACATGCTTTTATTTTTTCCAATTTTTGCAGGGTTGGACCAAAACTAATGCCTTTCATATCTGTATAACATCTTATAAACTTGTTATACAAGACCATCAGTCTTTCAGGAGAAAGAAGTGGAAGTATTTCATCTTAGATGAGGTTAATATATTGTGTACTTTATTCTGTTAATGTAAAAAACACTGCAAAATTTCCTATGATTAATTTGTTTGATTTACAGTACAAGCCGTTTATTATCATAGCTTATTTGTCAGGCCAAAACTTTATAATAACCGACTATGATTATAACCATAGACAGCTTAAATTCATCTCCGAGGTCTGACATGAACATGACTTGATCAATAACATGCCTGCCGTTTTTACACTATATTAAATAAGTATTATAGTATTAATTTCATATTTTTAGGTTTATTTTGAAAAATAAGTTAGCTAATATATCATTTTACTTTTTTTACTTACTGTTTCAACATTTTGTATAAATAAATTCACTTTCCTAAAGCTTAATTATCTCCGAACTCAATCTTCTAGATGTCTTGGCATCCATCTTGTTAACTTTCATTTTGATCTACTTTCATTTTTAGGTTCTATGATCAATTCAATCTATTAATAATTCGGTTGTTTTTTTTTTACGTTGCAGTTTTAATGAAACACAAAACAAAAAGAGAAAATATCTATAAACAGTATATAGAAACGTACAAACGAAAAAAACATTTAGTTACAAAAATGTTAGTTCAACATTTCAGCATAACACAAATTGCTTACCAACTACACAATATTTACGGTATCAAAATTATGTTACAACATAACAGAACATGAATTAAAATTGTTTAATTCTTTCTCATTCTTTTTCAACCTTCAAGCTATTAAGTGTCAGGGAAAATTCATCTAAAACACAAGCCCAATTATTTTCTTCCTTGCACCCAAGCGCTAATTACACTTAATGGTGCCATTTAATTGAAATTAAATTAATTCATACACTGATGTAAATCAAAGCCGCTTGGACAGGCTGGTTAAAAAGTTAATTTCACATCACTTCTGAATAAATTGGACAATTTATAATAATGTGATTAATTATGACCATTGATCAGGCAACAAGCGTAAGATAGCTTGGGTAAATTGACACTTAATTTAGATTCAACACATTTTGGTAAAACACATTCAAACAATTAAACAAAAGAAGAAAATAAGATTGTGGATGGCTTCCTGTTGTTGTGTAATGTACTTTGTGAAATAAACCAACTTCCAGTCATCGCTCAGGTAAAGTGCGCTGGAGTGTGACTAATCCCCCTCAGTCATTGTGTATAGACAAGCGACAGTGCATGGGCCACAGGTGTTGACAGGTGTTATCTTTTGTTTTGTTAATTGTCTCCAGAGTGAAAAAGGTGTGAAAAAAATATTACGGACGAAATTTTTCTATGATAGTAACCGAAGTACACACTTTTACCTATGATAATAACGTAAGAAATTAACATTGAATTATTAAGAAATGGTTTTGTGTTTTAAATATCTATGATAAAAAACGGCCTATGATATAAAACAGGTATTAAATAAAACGGCTTGTACTGTATTAGCATAATTTCTAAATGGACATCGAGATTGATAGCATATCTCTCTTTGCATAGAGAGACTATGTGAGAAATTCTCGGATATAAATGGAAGGAAAATTTAGTGTACAATTATATTTTTCATTGTACAATTTATTTTACTTCTAACATAACATCAATGCATTTCTATATATCAACATTAAAATTAACAAGCAAATAACAAAATTAATATTCTGTTTTACTAAACAGGCTCAAAACATCAAAAACTTCAAGTCTCAGAGATGGCAGACCCTTCTGAATTTTTCAAGTCAGAGACGACTGCTTCTAACCGGGACTCCTCTACAGAATAGTTTGATGGAGTTGTGGTCCCTGATGCATTTCCTTATGCCTCATGTGTTCCAGTCTCACAGAGAATTCAAGGAGTGGTTTGCTAATCCTCTGACAGGAATGATTGAGGGCAGTCATGAATACAATGAAAGTCTCATTAAAAGATTACACAAGGTAACCAGACAGCATGTACATGTATATGTAATCCATCTGAATTCAATTTCTTTACATCCTGGACTGTGCATGAATAAAAGCTGATTTTACATGGATTTCATTCCAGGTACTAAGACCATTTTTACTGCGTCGATTAAAGAAAGATGTTGAAAAGCAGATGCCCAAAAAATATGAGCATGTGGTTATGTGCCATCTGTCCAAGCGACAAAGATACTTGTATGATGATTTCATGTCGCAGACAAAGTAAGAAGAACTTTAAAATGTTTTCAGGGTCCTCCACACACATACAGTTTATGTTCTCATATTATTGAGCATTACTTTTAACAAGCATATCAACCTTTAAAACTGACCAGGGATTAAAATGTAATTTATACTGAACTTTTAAAATAATAATTTCACAAGTTTCAAAATATTTTTCCCAAGGCGTTTTCATACGAAGCACCAAAAATTTTGTCTTACCCTTTCATATATTTTTATGCTCACAGAATAACCATAAAAATTTAATTTTAGCGATCAACATATCTTTATGTTCTGAGTGTGCAACATACTTTCTCTTCAGAAGACTCCCTTACAAGCGGTTTTCAGGCAATTCGCCGATGCAAAATCTAAATAAAACCGGAAGTAAAAGTATTTTTTTCTTTGTATACGTCACAAGTCATATGGTGTGGATGATCCTTAAGTATTTGATGTATTAAAGTTATTATTCCATTTTGACTTTATTCTAATGCATGTTTTCACATTCTTTCAGAACAAAAGAAACATTGGCAAGTGGACATTTTATGAGTGTAATCAACATCCTGATGCAGTTGAGAAAAGTGTGTAATCATCCAAGTCTCTTTGATCCAAGGCCGATTGTATCACCCTTCAAAACAGAGGGCATTAACTACTTTGTTCCATCACTGGTGCTGAATTGCTTAGACTATGATCCTTTCAAGGTAAGTTAGGTTTTTGGGCTTAAAATTTAAATGTAATTGTAAAGGTTACCGTGGAATTGGTTTGGACATTGTTAATGGACAGTTTTCTTGCAATGGACATTGCATACTCATTTCAATATTTGCTTAGGGTGTACATTTTTGCACCCCTGTAATTGAAGATATGAAGGCATATAAATGTAGATTAAGCCCTGTCCACATCTCTCTGTGTCTGCAAAATCTTGAATCTAGGCCATAACTTTTAATGCTTTAGACTACTTTAAATGAGTCATGTGGAAATAAAGTAACAGCCATTTGTATGTATTTCTGCAAATTTGTACACTACATGATATATGTGAATTTTCTATTGAAGGATGTTGATCTACATTCACTTTATCCCAGTTTGGCTGATATGGAGTTAAATTTGCCAGCCTTTGTGGCACACAGAGTTAAAAAACTACAGACTCCACGAGTCTTGATTGAGGAAATTGATAGTCATCAAGAGCCCCCATCCCGACCTCGTTCTGGTAAACTGAAACCAGTGGTCTTCAAAGGCATTGCTCCTGTTCAACCAGTAAGTGTGATTTAGAAATGCTAATGAACTGTGTTGGACATGTAATGTATAAACTCCATGATAAGTATGGTGTTGAAACATGTCCTTGAAATTTTGATATCTTTGTTAGACTGGAAGAATCACCCCCACCACATCTGACAGAACCACTCCAGCATCTACAGCTGTACAATCAGCTCTGAAGACAGAAACTGGTATGAAACATTGCTATGAACAAAATAAGCTATACATTCAAAATTTTGCATGTACAAGTGCATTATTATATCAAAAAATATTTATTTCAGTAAATGGAGTTCAAGTAGAAAATACCCAAACTCCAGTAACAAATACAAGTGCTACAGTACAACCTCCAGCCAAAGTGGTTGCACAACCAGGTAAGCCTTCACTAGTGTTTAAGTAGCTTTTTGCCTCACTGAAAAAGGATTGAGGTTTCTTAATTCTAAATCTGTCCAAGAAAAGATGATAGTTTGCTGAAACATCTACATGTTGGGGACATTTACACCAAAAAAAGTGTCACTTATTGCAGAGAGGTATTTGTATATCTCAAAACCCCAAAAGAAGACAGTCATTGCAAATTACTTAGAAAATATGGAGTATAGATTTAAAAACATGTACATTATGTATATAGTTACATAATCCTATGATTTTAATTTTAACCCTTTCAACACTGTAGACCTCCACAGCGGTGGTATAAAACGTTACCCTTTCAACACGGTAAACCCCCACAGCGGTCTCAGGTATAAATAGAATGTAAACATGTTTTTAAACGTCATAGGAAGTATTTAATACGCAGAATCCGTCGCTATGAATTCTGAGATGTTTGATCTATTTCCGTTTCCAAATATGGCGGACCACATGTTGAGAAAAGGGAGGAAAATGAGAAATTTGAGACGAATCTCAGAAACAAGAAAGACGAAAGTAAAATGGCGAGCGACAGTGATGAATCCGACATTTCTGGCGATGAAAACTTCGATGATATGGGGAATTTTGACATTATTAATGTCAATAGACGTCAACAAGAGGCATTAGAACGACAATTTCGAGCCGTGGTCGGAGAAAGTGACGAGGATTCAGACTTTGAAGGCTTCGAACCGGAAGACGTGTACAGAGCTCCAACGTTTGAGGGTTGGGACAAGACACAGAACAACAGGAATATCCACCCATTTCGTGAACGCAAGGGGCCTGTAAGAGTTCTAGATGCTTCCTGTAAAGCCATAGACTTCTTCCAGATATTTTATACAGATGCTTTATTTGAAAAAATCGTAGAATATACGAACAACTCCGCAGCCACAAAACGAACAGCCGACCCAGATAAACACAAAGGAATTTGGACTGACGTTTCATTGGAGGAAATAAAGGCCTACTATGGCATTCTACTCATTATGGAAGTCATGCAGTTTGAAAGAGATGAACTTTACTGGTATAATAGCGAAAGATACTGGGTAATTGGTTCAAAAATTAGACAAGTAATGACAAGAGATCGCTTCATCCAAATAAAGCGCTACCTTCATTTCAGTGATGACCGTAATGTTCAAAATAACGACAAACTACACAAGGTACGATTGATTCTTGATCATTTGAGAACAACTTTCCAGAATGAGTATATCCCACATCAACACGTTTCAGTTGACGAGGCAATGATTCCCTTCAAAGGCCGTCTAGGAATGAAACAGTACATGAAGGACAAGCCTGTAAAGTTCAGGATAAAAATGTGGGTAGCTGCCGATGCAGTTACAGCATACTGCTACAACTTTGAAATCTATGTTGGCAAAAATAATGAAGTTGTCAATAGAAATTTAGGACTAGCTTCAAAGGTTGTGATAGGAATGACCAAACCATTGGAAAATAAGGGATATATTGTGTACACAGACAATTTTTACACAAGCCCGACAATTGCCGATTATTTGTACACAAGGAATACTTACATCTGCGGAACAATAAGGCCCAATAGAAAAGGCTATCCTAAGGAGCTTGTACCTACAGCGAGGGACGCAAGAAGGATGCAGGGAGGAACTTCAGACTGGCTAATGTGCGGCCCACTTTTAGCCCAGTACTTGGAGGACAATAGGATTGTTTATTACCTATCGTCGTATCATCAGCCTGATGACAATAACCTGGAGACAACACAGAGGAACAAGGATGGTACTGAGACACAGGTTCCCGTTACGCCAACAGTAAAAGCCTATGCTTCTTACATGGGTGGAGTTGATAGCCTTGACCAAATGTCGCGGATGAATAAATCCAAAAAATCGCTGAGATGGTACAGGAAGATGGAAATAAGGCTGCGAGAAATTGCCTTATACAACTCGTACATACTTGAGGGATCTGTAGTTGAGCACAATCCGCACAACAAACGTAAGAGGGATCTGCTAAGTTACCGTCTTGATGTCGCCCATCAGCTGATTGGGACTTATCGACAGGAGAGAAGGGGATTCAAGCGCCCAAGAACCGTTGATGCCGAACCGGAAATTCGCCTTGATGAGAAGTCTCACTGGCCCGGACCTACAGGAAGCACCAACACTGTGTGTTGTATGCAACAAAAAGCATACTGTGTATAGAAACAGCCACCCTGGATGCTCAGTTCAAGAAAATCCGAACAAGAGATCTAAAACGACGATGAAATGCGAAAAGTGCAACGTCCCGCTGTGTTGCAATTTGAATAAGACATGCTTCAAAGGCTATCACACCAAAGTCTACTTTTGGCAATAAACATTGTGAAAAGTGAAAAACAGTAGACTTTTGATAGTTTCAAGCCCAAGACTGAACACTTTCTGTAAAGCTGTGATTTGAGAAACTGGACTGATTGTGAAAAAAAACACTATGTGATTTTTCTGGATTTTTGATCATATGTGTTGACATAACTATATCATGTTATATATCATTTTATTCAGGAAATATTTCTCTTTAAAATTATGGTAAGAAATCTTATCAGTTTGAAACTTTATAGCAGCAAATTTTTAAGAATTTGTCAAAATTTATGAATTTTTTATAATTTTTAAATTTTTCTCTGATATTATTTTACATTACAATTAATAAATGTTGATTATAATTACATTCTAAAAGAAAATTTTCTTATCTTTCCAATGATGTATCACATAATAAAATTGTCAAAGAAATAAAGATGTTATGATGCTTTTTATAACGGTGACCATTTTTGCTGCTGATGGCCTGAGTTACTCAGTGTACCATGGGTTGGCTGATAAAAGTTACTCAGTGTTGAAAGAGTTAAAGAATGTGCCAAATACTGTACATCAACTCAAATCATGCGCTCTCTGCACACCAGTTTGACATGATATACCATTGTTATTTACCTGTGTTGTCATGTATTTTACAGCTGGACAGACAGGAGTCCAACAGCCTCTCACTGTTCACATTCAACAGACAGACCAGGGAGCTCGTTTGATGATTCCAGCAGGCCAGCTGTCTCAGTTACCAGGTAAGATATACATGTACAGACAGTCTGAGTCACATGATGTAGCCTCTTTCGTTGTTCTGCCAATGTAATTGTTTTGTTGGTGGAATTCCATTAGAGGCTTAAATAATATGCCTTAGTACGAGCCTGAGAGAATTTATGTTATCTTGCAGGTCCCTAAATTTCGGCAACATTTCATTATTTCAAAACTTGTTTTCTGTACAAAATAAGAGATTGCTTTACTTTGTATAATGAAATGGTTAATAGACTTGTGACTTAGTTCTAACTAATATATTTAATAATATTTGTTTGTAGCTGGATTCATTCAGATTGTGCAGACTTCCACAGGACAACAGATTATAGCTACGTCTACCCCTATGTCTACATCTAGTCAAATCTTAGCCAGCATTCCTACGTCCTCTGTACAAGCTCTAAGTGTGGCCACCACCTCCTCCACTGTTGGTAAGAACATGTATCTTGTTTTGAGTATGATTTAGTTTGAATGTAAATCTTCATCAAGTTAGCCATTATTTATGCAGTAGTTAAGAGTTCTGTTTTTCTTGTTGAAAATAATTTTTTTTACGTGGTCAGAATTTTCAAGCATGTACCAATTCAACGCCATTTTTAAAGGCATGTGGTTCTACCCCTAGGTAAAGTTAATGTAAATACAAATAAATCATCTCTTTTTTATGTACATAATTACCGAGCGGAGTCTCTTGTGATTTATTCTATTCCACAAGTGCTAAGAAATCTCGGTGAAAGAAAGTTCTCAAGATATATGCATTGGCTGTTATGTACTTATGTGACATCCAATCACCAAATCTTTAGACAGTTTGATTATTACAAGCAAGATGAGTATGTTGACATTCCAGAATTGGGTACTGTAAAATCACCTATTTTTGGTGGTGCCAGGATCTTGGAATTTAGTTAATAAAGATTTTATCTAGGAAATGAGGGACAAACATGATGCTGCAGTTTGAAATGTTTAACATTTTTTGAAGGACATATCTTTGCCATGAAACTGAATACTAGTATATTCTGTTGCCTTTCTGCATTCCAGTTAATGGCCCACCCACCATTACAACAGTAGCTTCTTCAACGTCCAGTACTTTGGTAACGAGTGTCAATGCCCAGGTTAAAACAACTCCCGCAGTTCAACTGCCGTCTAGTTCCACCATAGTTACTGGGGCCAGGCCTGTGATGAGAGTGTCCCCGTTGTCATCTGTAGCTCCTGTCACATCCAATCAGGATCCCTCTGGTGAGGACCAAAATAATGTTTTATGGTCACATTTTTTTCCAGTGATTGATGTTTCCATCATAGTAGCAAATTTTTTATTTAAGTTTGGCACAAAAACATTTCTATTTGTTCAGTTTCCAAGCCGTCCACAGCACAGGTGACAACTACGATGTCGCATAGTTCAACCAAGATGTCGGTGTTAGACTGTGAAAATCTGCACAACAAAAGCTCTCGGTTTTACATGGTAAGGACAATGTTTAAATTCTAGGATTTAGTTGATTATGCACACAGTATATTTTTTTTTAATTGCTTACACATGTATTAGATAGATATGATTAATTTCATGAACATTACTTTTTTGAAGGCGTCTCTGACTTCCAAACTGCAAGATCTGAGGAAGCAGAAATTGGAGTACATAGCCAAGATTAATAAAAGGAGGTGTGAATGTAAGCCAGTATATGGACAAGATTTATGTGATGCAGTGGATGTTTTTAAAGACATGAACAAAACTTCTGTGAAAGATAATACATGGAAGGGACTTGGTATGGCATATTGTCGTAATGTGAAATGTTGGAGAAATCCAAATCATCCAGATATTTATTGGAAACAGACCACAGTGCTTTCAGAACTAGTTCATTCCCCAATGGATTATTTATGTGAATTGAAAGATATTCTTTCTAGGTAAGAAAAGCATGCACCTTTGACTGGTTCACCTGTATGAAAAAATATACATGTATGAAAGCAGAAAGATATTTTCTATCTTTTATGCAAAATTTGCATATCTTAAAATGCTTATGAATGTAAACTTGCATGTACAGTTGCACTTGTATCATACAACTGTTTCTGATTCCAGGTTTGTGTTTGTGACACCACCCATAGTGTCACCTCAAATACAGCTTCATGCTTCACATCCCTCTCCATCCTACCTCAATCAACAGAGGAGAACTGAATTCTGTCTCAGACAACACATCTCACCCAAAACCGAATGTCTTCATCAAATCTCATCCAGGATGACGGTACAGTTCCCAGAACTTCGCTTGATCCAGTATGATTGTGGTATGTTCAATGCACTGAATTTCTTATACTAATTTAACAGATTAGGGTGCAAGTAATTACTGTTGACTCCTGGAATTAGGAATATCACAAAATAAAACTGATTATATTCATGTTATCAAATTAAAAAAAAAAAAATTCATTTTGAGTATTTGAACATTTAAGTCTCTGGGTAAGGTGTTTTTATTGACTCTTACATGTAAATGGAGTGATTTATTTGTATAAATGATTTGAGAATGGTTTGGTTAGATATACCTCCTGTCATGTGGTCTAACAATCCTATCCTGTTCAACAGAGAAGTTAAAATTGAAAAGTAATATATCAAATTTATTTTACCAATTTAAGGAAAGTTGCAGACAATGGATATCTTGTTGCGACAACTGAAGTCGGAAAACCACAGAGTGCTTATATTCACCCAAATGACCAAAATGTTGAACATTCTGGAAGCCTTTTTGAATTTCCATGGCCATAGATATCTACGACTGGATGGTACCACAAAGGTGGATCAAAGACAGGTAAAGATTAAGTTTACGTGTGAATCTTGACAGATGTTTCAAAATGGACTTCTAGTTTCTTAAATTGCTTACTTTTGATCTTCTTATTTCAGTTCCTTATGGATCGCTTCAATGCAGACAAGCGTATATTTGCTTTCATTTTGTCCACTCGTTCTGGAGGTATTGGTGTGAACCTGACAGGAGCAGATACTGTGATATTTTATGACAGTGATTGGAATCCTACAATGGATGCCCAGGCACAGGACAGGTGTCACAGAATTGGACAGACCAGGGATGTTCACATCTACAGGTAAGAAAACACCTGTATCTGATTTTATTGCTGTTGTATTGTTCTGTAAACCTGTTGGCTGTTGCAAATTAAAGCTCATTATGATGAAAACAATTACCGTTTGATGTAGTATGATAGAAAATAATGGCTGCAAGTACTCTTATTACTGAATGAGCTCCTTTTAATGAATGTAAAAATGTTAAAGTGGGCTTACAATTTGATCTCAAACAAGGCTTTTGTTATTCCAGATTGATCAGTGAGCGAACCGTAGAAGAAAACATCCTGAAGAAAGCAAACCAGAAAAGAATGCTTGGGGACATGGCTATTGAAGGAGGAAACTTTACAACTGCTTTCTTCAAAGAGCAGACCATCCAGGAATTGTTTACTGAGCCATCAGGTTTACAGAGTTTGGCAGATGAGATAACGGAGAGTGAAAAAGTGAAAGAGACTGTTACAGAGTTGAAGGAAGATACAAAGGCAGGAGGAGATGCCAAGGAAGAGAACATGGTGCAGTCAGAGAAAAACGTTATGGCTCAGTTTGAGAAGGTGAGCATTGGTCAAGCAAGTCAATTTCTTGTAGAATTTAAGTGAGGAAGTGCACATTGCTCATTGTGATGATATTAATTACCGTTTGATACTTTATGATAGTAAAAAATGGCTGCAAGTACTCTTGTTTCTGAGTGAGCAATATTTAAAATTGATGAATCTTGGACTTGGATGAATCCATTCCTTATATTCATATTACAAAAGTTAAAAAATATCTTTGCAATTCATAGGTTCTGGCAAAGGCTGAAGATGAGACAGATGCGCAGGCTGTAGATCTTGTCAAAGCTGAGCAGAAAGCAGAACTGGCCGAGTTTGATGAAAACATTCCATGGGATGAGAGAGAAGCCGAGCTGAAGAAAGAAGAGGAGCTCTCCAAAGTGGAACAGGAAATTGCAATGCTTGACAAAGAGGTATTTTAATGATTTTAGATAAAAAAAAATTACATGTAAACCCAGTACATGTGTACTTTCAAACTTGTCAAAGAAGGAAAAAAAATCGGTTAACAATTATACAGAATTTCACCATATTGTATTATATTTCAGCTTACTCCGGTAGAGAGATATGCAGTCAACTTCATGGAGCTTGAAATGGACCCAATGGAGGAGTTAGAAATGGGAGAGGTACAGTGTATAGTAAAAATACCCTTAACTAACTTCTGTTACATTTCTTGACTGAGTATGGTATGTGAACAGTGCACCTAATATGTGATTATCTTTATTATAGGAGGACATAGAAAATGTCAAGAAAGACTGGGAACTTGGACGACTCAAAGCATTGAAAGAGGAAGAAGAAAGGAGAGCGGAGTTGGAGGAAGATGAAATGTTGTACATTTACTACAGGGATGATACGTATAACCAGGTGAAGAAAAAGTCCAAGAAAGCCCAGAAGGCAAACAAAACACCAGCCAAAATTGTCACCCCATCCCGCATTACCCCAGCCAGAAATAAGGCTAAGCAATTTAATGATGATGAGTATGTTCCGTCTTCTGGCAGAGCTATCAAAGTTACTCCAAAAGTGACATCAACAAAAAATGCTATCTCTCCAAGGTTAAATATGGGACGAAATAGAAGGGCAAACAAAGTTTTAGCTAAAGCTGAGGCTGTTGTAGTGGATGAAGATGGAGATGGTGCTATAAATGTTACCTATAAGTGTAAACCCAAATCTGCCAAAGCTAGCAAAAAAGTGTTGATTGATAACAATGTTACTATTCCAAATGATGAATCAGAACCAGCTGTGGACACTACTCCTAAAGTAGTGCTACAGCAAAAGAAAGGACGAGGGAGACCCTCCATTCTTAAGCAGGGTACAGAAAAGACCCCAGACAAGGTTGCTGCCACCCCACAGGTTCCTGTGATGATAAGCTCTCCCTCAGTCCAGAAAACGGTACAATTGTCACAGGTCCAAGTTCAACAGGTCCAGGCTCATTTAGCCAAAGCCCAACAAAACTCTGCTTCTCAACCAACAATAGCCCAGCTCATGTATCAAGCACACCAGCAGCAACCTTCAATTCAGTTTGCCAGGCAATCTGCCCCTACTTTGCCCCATCAGCTAAATAATACTTCACAGCTGTTATCCACATCCCAACTGCAACACCTTAAACAAATCATTTCCAAAGCTGCTCATACAAACCTTGCCAAAGCTGCTCCCCCAAAAGCTAACCCAGCAGGTGTTGTCCAGGCTGGTCAGCCAAACTTGGTTCAACAGTTAAATATCAAGTCTGCTCAAAACCAACCAGCCATTCAGCTTGTTGGACAAACTTCTGTTATTCCTCAACCTCAGGCTGTTTCAGTTACCCCTCAGGTTGCCCAAATTGTCAATCAAGGTCCAGGACAAACTATTCAGTACATAACGCAACCCACTCAGGTTGGAGGTGCCCGCCCGGCCCAAGCTATACAACAGGTGGTGTCTCGCAACAGTGCAGGACAACCCACTTTACAATTTATCAAGGTCAATGCTTCAAATGCACAACAGCCAGTGTTGCAGTATGTTAATACTTCTGCAGGCACTGCTGGTCAAGTTAGAATACAGAACACTGCCCCTCAAAATCAACAGGGGGTGGTGTTCTTACAACTGGGTGGAGGTAAAGCTATTCCAGTGTCCTTAAGTCAGGGATCACCACTGTCTGTTCCAATGGCCAGACTAGTGACTAGCAGGAATGTAGCAAATGGCAACCCAAAAGTTGCTCATGTTGTACAACAGAATGTTATACCCCAACAGTACATTGCAAGAAACATACAGCCCACAAGAGTGTCTGCACCTATTTCAAGGTTCCAGACAGCTGCAGCAAGCCAAAGCAACCCTGTCCCACCAGTATCTAGTCCTCAGCCCTCCAACCTACCCACTGTTGTACAACAGGCAAGGTACAGAATACCCAAAATCAGTCAGCAGCAGCCCAAAGAGAATCCCGTCCCAAGTACTCCACCCACATCCTCCCCATTCTGGAATCCCAATCTAGTTATACGCACAAGGAAGGCTGCTGCCCAGCCTGGTGTTTCTAGGGAAGAAGTAGAGCAGGGAGAGATGAATGACCATCTTCCTTTTGTGATAGGGAAACCTAACCCACCCATCCCCCAGACCAGCACAAATGGTGGGTCTCCCAATCAGTTCATTAGTTTGCTAAGAGCAGGTGTGGCCTCTGGCCAAGTGTCCAATGTTGTGATAAAACAAAACACTATAATATCCTCTCAGGGGATGGTGGTTACCAGTCAAGCTAACAGCGAGACTCAGGTAACGACCAATGGACCTCTGCCTAATCAGGTGAATGACGTCAGCTGAGAATATTGTGCTATTGAGTAGAATGTATGATATGGGAAAATGATGGATGTTTCTTATGTCGTGTATATTATACAACTGAATTTATTTTTGAGGCATTTTAAATGTTGATGAAAATATGTTGAATTTTCATTTAAATGAATGTTAAATTTTTATTTTGAAATTGTGCCAGTGTAAAGAAAAAAATACAGATGATCTGGAAAAGAGTGTTGGGCAAAAGGCTTTTGATTGAGTATATTTAAATTTTTTTAATGATTTTTCTTCTGAAGCCAGGGACTTTTTAAACTTTAAGAACAAGACAGTTTGTGGTATTTGTGATTTTGTAAGGTAAACTGTGTTTACTTGTTCCTGTATGATGATAATTTTGACATTGCACTGTTGATGTACACACATGTATGCATGTATTTTGTTATCAGAAAAAGTTGTGACTGCATTTTTCAAATGAAGTTAAAATAAACCAATGATTTGTTACAAAGTGTGTTCATCTCATTTCTGGGGTAGTGGCACACAAGGTCCTGGTGTCAGTCTCATCTTCTGTGGGTGGAGCGAGGTGCCGGCACCATCACCTTCTGTCTGGCCACTTAACCTTTGCTCCCCCTCAGAAATGAGATGTAGACTTTGTAATGCAAGCAGAACAGCCCTTCCTCAAAATTCAGATTAAATATATATATATCAATTTTGATAGTATTAAAAATTTAAAATTCTCTGAAGGAAAAGCTTTCTGCAGCAGATACAAAATCCATGATCATGTGTGTCATTGCCAGCTAGCAGCAGGAGGCATTGAATGATAAATAATGAAAAGAAGGCATAGATAAGCTTGGAATTATACTGCATCAGTTGATTGTGAAAATCTAAAGTTGGGTGAAATTTAAGCTTTTGGCTTGCATATCAGCAGCAAAATACTGCCATGGTACTTGAAAAGGCAAGCAGCAGCAGGCATTGAAAAATGATGAAAATTGGGCACAGAAAAGCTTTAAATTATACTGTATCAGTTAAAAGATTAAGTCCAAAGTCAGAATGTAAGATTTCGGCTTCAAGTTAGCAGAAAAATACTACCATGGTACTTTCAGAAAAGGAAACAATAAGGACTTTTTAAAAATCTTTGAGAAAAGGAAATCAAGAGGGCCAATATAATTGATGGTTTATAATATGCAGCAGAATATCAGGGTACTGAAAGTAAAGATAAACGTCTACATTTAAATATGAATAAAAAAAATACACTCTATTGGACCCATTTGTTTGTGAAATTAAAGGTAAATAACTTGATGAAAAGATGCCAAAAGGTGCATACATTTATTGCCAGTGAACAGATCAACATGCAAAATAGTAACTTCAATTTTTATTTCCATAAGGGCAGACAACTTAAAGAATTCCACAAAGTAGAAATTTTTTAATTCTGTGTTGAAACCAAACTTGAGGAGCATGATCAATTCAGTACTACAAAAATTCAGTGAAATATTGATACTTGATTTTAAAATTTGCAAGATTTCCTATGAGTTGTATTCTATATTCTCTTATTTTTAGGTCTTCCTTTCTGATGTTGATCAGGAGAAAATGCCTGTGAGTATTTCTAAGTAGCTTTATCTAAATATACATGTAATATATACTGGCAAATTGTTTTGATGCAGTCATCTTTTAATAAATGCGTGTATATTCACTTTAATTAAACTTTATGGAAATTGCAATGTTTCAGTGCCATCACATGCTTAGATATTTGCATATTTTTAAAATGGGTTAATGTGATGGGAACTTCACTGCCTACTGAAATCTAAATTATTATTGGAATTTTTTTTTTTTAAATCTTATAGTTTTCATGTTGACACTGAATTTTAAAAACGACTTTCTTTTGACAGCTGTGGGCTCCTCCCACCCCACCACATGATGACAATGACATCTACTTGGACCAAAGTCTCCTGTTTCTGTATGAACCTAATGTGATGCCAGAGACCCAGCTTCCTCCTGTGTACATCAAGAAGGAGCACAAGAAACCCAAGATTGAATCTATCACTAGTAAGACAATATTAAATGACAGCATAATTATGCCTTATCATTACAAATAATATTAGTACAATACAAAATAATCAAATCTTCAAATTGAAAGAATCCATTATTGATGTAAATGTTCATATTTTATGGAAATTGGTACATATTGAAGTTGGTTATAGTGGAAAATGAATTCTATTTCAGCTCGCCAAAAGAAACAGAGAAAAGAGGAGCAGACTCGAGTGCCTCGGTCCTTGTTTGATCGTCCTTCAGCTCAGCTGTTGAAGATACGAAGGGAACACAAACAGAAGAGTGGCCTTCTGAAGCCTTTCCGACCAGTTCCTCCACCCATTGTCAAACCTAACGTAGATACCTCAGATCATCCAGAGTGGCTCATCCATGAGGACTGGGCTCTCTTACAGGTATTATGATACTGTAATAATACAATATTAAGAGATAGAGTACAATTTTGCTTATTTCAACCTACCGGTATTTAGTTCAGAATGATTTAGATTGTCGTTTCTGTTGCAAGTATAATTCAGAGTATTTCCCAAGGTGCAAGTGCTAATGGAATGTTGGCTACAATAAATATTTGGTTTATTTTGTAGGCTGTACAAAGCTTGTTTGATGTTCCTCTTAACCTGCTGGTTGTATCTCCTGCACATCACCCTAACTGGGATCTGGTGGCTGATGTTGTCAACACGTGTAGTCGTGTGTACAGGTCAGCCAAGCAGTGTAAGAATAGGTACGAGAATGTCATCATCCCAAGAGAAGAGGGCAGAATTTTGTACGATATCAACCCCAGAAAACAGAGCAAAAAGACAAAGGGAATATACAAGGTAAGACTCTTTATGGTTAGGAAGTAATGGTTGAAAGAAATTCTTTTTCTGCAATTGTGTGTAGCTTTTATGTATTACCAAAAATGCAAGTCTTGCTAATGCCAGAAGTTGACCTCACTTTGTCCCTGGACTGTAATATTTAGTGTAATATGTATTTATAATTTTGTAGACAAAGAACAACAGGCCAATGAGAACAAGTCAGCTGTATATCCAAGACAACAATCAGGCGGTTACCATGTTGTATTCCTTCCGTTTTGAGTCGGCTAAACAGATTGCAGGAAAGAGGCCCCCACCCCTGAAGCAAACTCTGGTTAATCCTACACTGAAGAATCCCAAGCATGCTACAGTGTTGTCAGAGAATAACATTAACTATGACCAGCCCTTAAATCCTATGAGTGTGGCCGAGATTCGAGCTCAGAGGATCCAGAGAGAGAAAAAACAAAATCAGGCAGCTGCTGTAAGTGTTTTAAAGAAATTTGTATGTTATATACACAAACACTTGTGTTCATTTTCTTTTACATTTATATACATATAATTACTTAAATCCACTTAATCCGAAACAGGCATATATTATCTTGCACAATAAAAGTACGTCATTACATAGATAATATATAAAAATATATTATAAGATTGATTTAATATTTTATTACAACAATCCTTACTTGGAAAACGTAGATCAAAAACCTTATTGACAAACAGAAAAATATATTGGATTAAATTACATAATTTAACACCTGTTGTGAAGTCACAAAAATATATGTACTTTGAATATAAAAAAATAAATTTATCGGTTTTATCTAATTATGAAATAATTGATTGCTGTTAATTCAAACCCGAGTATTTTTTTTCCATTAGTAGAAGCCTAAGTCATTGAATATAATCCATAGTAATTTTTATATTAATATGCATATCTAAAGAAAGGAAAATCAGATATTTGTTTTAAAGGAAATTTAGTAACGAAGGCTAAAATATTGTCCGTGTACAGGTATAAAAGATATACATGTAGGCGATATTTAATTTTTCGAAGGTGATTTCACGCGATATCAACATAGGATTATTTTTTGTGTGACCTAACAAAAATTATTTTTTAAACTTTTGAATTTTGATATCTTTTGAAAGAAAAAGACTTTGGGGATATAGTTGGACAAAAAGTGAAACAATTTATGGACAATTATTTTTGTAACTTCTTAGATTTTCTAGAGCTACAGAAAAACATGTACATATATTTTACACGTCTGTTCAGCATGATTTTACTATGCAGTAAAATTGGACGTCTAGTCTCAATTCTGATATCTCGACCCAAGCGGCTTTAACTTTTAACTTTAATGAATTTTTATCATGAAGAATTGTATTGATATTCTAGCAAGCCACGGCAGACCAGCAATTAGCTGCACAGAGATCTGTTGTTCAGACAGCTGCCACAACAGGAACCACTGTAGTACAGCAGACCACCACCTCAGTAGCAGTGGCTCCAGTGGCACAACCCATACAAACAGCAGTGGTCTCTTCAGCTGTCCTGGTAGGAGTTTTGAGTCGATTATGCACTAACCTTTTGCTTTGTTCAGAATCATGAAATTTCCTGAAAGTCATAAATTAATGCATAATATTCAGTTAAAATTACTAGTTTCACTTGTGAAATGAATCGTACATGAATAATATTGCAACTATTTTGATGTAAGACTACATTGCTATGACTTGTTGCAGCAGACTGGGGTGGTACAGAAGGCTGCCGCTGTAGGACAGGTGGCCGTGACTAGGACAGCCACAGGAAACATTGTGGTCAACACTCAGGGAGGGGTCCCCACCAACTTTGCTGCCATCAACAGAAGAATGAGTCAACAGGCTACTGTGGCTTCCATAGCTCAACCAGCCACTGTGGTTAGTTAAAATCAAGATACTAATTTGATATACAGCCCAAAAAACAATAGCAAATGTTCAGTAACTATACTGTAAATGTATTACATTTAGCCCGATATTTGAGAAATTCAATAGCAAATGTTTAGCGCTGTCTGAATTTGCTAGTTTTAATATATACAAGACATTTAGCGATCTGTTTTCTGAGGCACAAATTTGTTTTGATTTACAGACAGTTGCTGGGGCTATTACACCTGCTAACATCAGGGCCCAGAGAACAGCAGCTCCTCTCACAATACAGGAGATAACAGCCATAGCCTCCCAGCCTCAGACACAGGTCACCACCTCCATAGCCTCAGGTCCCCAGGTGGCCAGGACACAGCTACAGACCACGGTGACAGGAGCACAGCTGGCCACAGTTCAGAGAACTAATACAGGTCAATAATTAGCATCTGATGAATATCAGAGAAATATCTGCATGCATTTCAATAGTGTAGTTTAGAACAGTTTTTCTTTGTAAATGTTGTACTGACAGATGAGTATTATTAAAAGTGAAAAATAGTTATAAATGGAAATCAGTGTGAGAAAGTTTGTTTGGATTTTGTTACACAGGCCAGCAATTAACACAGCAAACAGTGACGAAAAACTTGACGCCTCAACAGTTGTTACAGCTTCAGCAGAGACAGCAGAATCTGATCAACCAGCAGAAAATGCAGCAACAGCAGGTGCAACAACAGCAGCAACTCAGGATGCAGAAACTTAATCTAACGGTCAGTTAAACAAAATATGTTCTGGATTTAACGCCTATCTTGTTTTTACTGGGTCAAATTTTAATTTGATTTTAATATCTTAAATTATTTAAAAATAAATATCATTGTATTTTCCTTTTTTGTGTACCTATGCTTGAACGGTTTTGAATAAAAATAATATACATATTTCCATTACTTATAATGCTTGTATGTAAAAGGATCACTTCATTATAAATAGGGATCTGACCTATAGGACCGGGCTTGGTTTTTTTCTCTACAAAAGCTTGTCGATTTCCGTTCCGATTAATGACATTAGGCTAAATACATATAATAATTTGTTTTTCCTAAATTTTTTATTTCAGTTAGTAGAGGTAGGAGGAACCCTTTCATTGATTTTCTGAGTTTGTTATCTCCATATGTTCTAATTGATATTTGTCTTTACTTCTCATGGTTCATAAAGGTAGTGTCTACTGTCTCTGAAATTCTGTTCTTCATGTCTAGGCCATTTATCCGTGGATATAATAAAACGTCTTTAAAGTGTGCAAATTATATAGGCCTAAATGAAATCCAAGGGAGTGCATTTACTGAAATATGCAGCCAAAATCAGTGTGATTTAATTATACATGTAAGGAATATATACAACTGAAATTCATTGCAGCTCAAAGTTGCCAAGAATACCTGTAGTGAGTAACACATAGTGAGTTATTCTTGTCCTCGAAGAAAGTGTGCTTCGTTCCGCCTGACTGACAACTGTACATTGGATTTTTACGATTTGATATCTCTTTAGTGTTTTTTATATATCAAGAATGGACATGCATTTAAAGGATAGATAATTAAAGGGAAAATACACAAATCCATATAAAAAATCTAAATAGTCTTTAAAAAGGCGAAATCTAAAAGTTTAAAAGTGTTGTACCAGGTGGATTCGAACCCCCGACTTTAAAAAGAAAGTATCCAAGGTGTAAAAGTCCGCGATTATATCAACTGAGCTAGTCTGACTATAAGAATGATTGGCGTAAATTTATAGCAGGTGATGAAAATCAGGTTTCCTTATTTTTTGTAGGTTTATTGTGAATTTCGACCCCAGGGCAGGAGTGCCCCTAAAAAAATCTTATCTTAATTTATTCCTTACATCCTAACCTATCAAAAAATCGCAATGTTATTTAGGGGCAGGCCTGCCCTGAAGGACTTCAAGGCTAAAATTTATGCAAAAATCAATGCTTTTGTGGACAAAATGGTGTTTCGGTCAACTTTGGAGGTTTATTGTTAAGTTGTAAATAATTAATCTGAGGTATCAAATACAAATTTGAAAAATTTAGACATATATACGGTAGAAAACAACAAATAAAGATTGATTTTTAAATCTCGTTTTTTCCGGGAAATTGTTCTCTCCTATAGGTCAATTCTTTTGTTAAAGCGAATACATCCTTTGTAAGTTGATGGAACACTTATACAAATTTCTCTGTCTTTCAAATGCAGATTTAGCAGGTACAATGTTGGAAAAGAAATATGTGAACAGAAATTCATTATATTCATTTCTTTATTAATTTTTCAGCAACAACAGTTGAAGCAGCTCCAGCAACAGGGTAGGGCCCAGAAAACTGTGATTGCTCAGCAGCTAGTGACAGGCGTTGGACAGGTACAGTTTTGTTTTTAGATTCTCTTGGTCTTGTACCGAGATACTTTCATTTGAAAGAATAATTTCCTTATGATAAAATTATAAAAGATTTCAAATGTTTGACATATTTACTATAGCATTTCAAGATGACAGAGAGATTAAATTGACCCTAGCATTTATAAAATCAAAGAATGATATTTGAGGACAAAAAATGTTTTGAATAATTGCATTTTGATTAAAATATGAAGAAAACAAATAAAATATTTCATATTCAGTAAAAGTAAATGCTTCATTTAACAGCTGACAGCAGCACAGCTGATTCCTCAAGCTCAAGTGCAGCATATAACACAGTCAGCAACAGTGGCTGGGACCTCTGGAACACTGGTGAAGACTGTGTCAGCACCCGGTATCCCAGTCAGCACCGTCAACATTAACGTCAGTGTGCCACAACAGAAAGGCATAGTGGGTAAGGGATCATTTCAACACATCATAGAAAGTCGGGCATTTGAATGTAATGCTTGGGTCTCTGAGATTTAACAAATGTATAAATGTTCTGAATTTGAAGTGTTTTATTTGTTGCAACATTTTATGTTGTCAACTTTGTTTATAACCTAAACAAAAAGATCAATTTGTCATTCATCTGTTTTCCCATTCATTCAGAGAACATTTCAAGTTCTTACTTAGAATTATAGGTTTTCATCATCCCCTTTTCTCCTTCAATTTTTCAATGATATGAAGACAAAAGAATATTTATTTTATATTTTTAATGCTGTTAACAGGCAACAATCAGCAATCATTAAGAAATATTAGTCAACATATAAAGAGCACATGTACAATATTTACATAACAAAGCACCTTTACATCACAGGGGCATTGACTAGAAGCACTTTTTCAGTCTATAATTTTGTCTCTGTATTTTTTCAGTCTTTCATTTTAAACAGTTTCACTAGGTTTTTCACACACATTTCACAAAGCCAGTTCACGGAAGCAGTTGAAGGCAATCTGTCGTTTCTTTTTGGCGATCTCTGTCAGGCTGCGGGTGTTGTTGGAGCGGTTCCTCTTGTTTCCAAACCACTTCTTCACCTGCTCTGCTGTCATTTCTCCCTGGATGGCGATCAGCTCCACTGTGATGGAATCAGGATAGGGATGGTCCATGTTCTTCTCGTACCAGTCCTCCATGACCTCGATGGCTTTCTTGGTGAAGCTTACTCGCTGTTTTCTGATGGGTTTGATGGACTTTGGTTTCTGGATCTTGGTTTCCTCTAGAAGACATAGGCTTTGTTCCACTCGGTTCAGCATCTGGTTGAGTTGGTTGTCGTACTGTTGGTTCAGCACCACTGCATGGTCAGATGGACAAGGAGGTTTGGTCTGATGAAGGCGCTCTGTTTCGATGATGGCTGACTGGTACATGTAAAACTGACACAGCTGTTCGATGTCTTCAGGATAGTCCATGCGCAGAGCCTCGAATCTTCGACGAATGTCCTGCTCCCGCTGGAAAATGAAGGTGTTGACATGCGGTTGGTATGCCTCTGTGTTGACCTGGGTGTACTCCTCCAGTGGATATTGGATGTGGGTGAATGCTGTAGACTCGGGGACAGGCTCACTCACTAAGTCACTAAGTGATACACTGAATCGACACAACTCCTCCTGAAAGTCTGGTGAAGGAATGCACACTGCACTTGGTTCACATGATGACTTTGTTGAATCACTGAAGCAACAGTCACTGAAAGGTCTGGATTCCGCAGAATGAATGTCCTCATTGTATGCGTCAAGAGAAGCCAGATCACTGAACTCGAGAGCACGAGATAACACATCCTTTGAATCAGGAGAAGCTGACATGTCACTGTAGTCCACATCACAAGATGTCACAGAAGAGTTCACATCAGGGGAGGTCACTGTGGAACACACATCCTGAAAGTTTAATACCTGAACATCTGTAGAAGGTGTGGAGGAACACTGGAGGGAATTGTCCAGGAAATCCATGGGTCCATCACGTACTGGATCAAACACTTCTCTCAGGCTGTCCAGGTCATCTTCGGCATGGGGCAGGATCTCGGAGAAACTGTCATTAAAGCTGAGCTCCAGGAAATCACTGATGTCCAGGGAGTGGGACTTGATGGAGGGCAGCTGGAGAATGGAGGGAGAGGTGGGCTTCTGGTGGGCATCTGTTTGATGGGCAAGCTGGCTACTCATCTCCATTGTTGAAGGCTTTGATTTCTCTTTGGTGATGAATTGGCTTGTTAATCAGACAAAGCTGGATAATTTTCTTAACTGTTACCTGGGTATTTATAGGGAGAGTGGGGTTTGATTGTCTTCTGATTGGATTGAATTGGAATTATTCAATTGTAATTATTATTTCTCTCCTCTGATTGGTTGTCTTAAGCTCTTGTTTACTTTTAATTGATTGGATTGGTTAATACAAGCTGATTTCTTTTCAACATTAATCATTGCCATGATGAACAGTAGATTGTCAGTGATAATTTGATAACATGGCTTGGGTAGCTGGTCACCCTATGAACTGTTTGGCATACTGTACTGTTTGATAATTAGGGTCATTAAAGGAATACTGCAATTCTGCTCAGGTGAACTATTGTCACATGTATAATTTATTCACATATCTTTAAATAATGATATTGTACTACCTTTTTTAAAATTATTTTTTCCTTCATATTCTTTAAATTTAATATGTATTTATTTTAACATCCGAAAAAATATATACACTATTTCTTGCATCTTCAAATTTTACAAAATCATTTAAGTATTATTTTTAAACATGCAAAAATATAATAATATACATATTTTTAATCTATAAATTTTACAAATAGAATCTGAAAAGAAACAAAACTGTTAATCTTTCACCTAAGTTAAATTTAATAAATTAATAAATATTTATCTTATTAAACAAGAGTTATTATGTGAAGTCAAGCTTTTGATTTCTATTTCTTATTGTTAATTTACAGATTTTATTAAGAGACATAAAAAAATTATCAATAATGAATTAAAATGACATGATCTCTTTCAATATGTACTGTAAAATATATGCAGAGGTTAATAGAAAATCTTGACAAATTAATTTGAATAGCAAAGACCATTTTCTTCTATTAAAAAAAATACATGTAAATACTTTATGCTCATTCCCTCTTCTATTTAAATTTGTATTCAATTGTATTTTGTGTATAAACATGATGTTTGTTTTGTATAAATATATATATGCATTTCTAAAATAGAAGTAAAAATTTAATAGATAAAATTGAATCAGTCTGTTATTGCAGTAGAACATGCTTTTTATGCAATAATAAATTGCAATATTTTTTTACAGTAAATTCCATATATTAGAAATTTAGAGATTGTTGTTGAATGTTTTCATAAGGTTTCCAAATTACACAGGGCGTAAATGATTTACCTAATTATTTACAAGCTAATTTTTGGATGAGTGATATCAGTTTTTGTAAACAAAGTAATTTTGTGAATGTTATTTTTAAAACATTAATTGATACATAATTAATGGATTTTTCACAACTTTTTTCTCAGGTAAATCTGCTACTGTAAGCCAGATTCCACAGGCTAAAATTCAGCATATCCAACAGATTCAGCAGCAAATGAGGCATCAACTTACTAAGCAGCCTCAAAAAATCACATGTAAGTATATGTACATATATGTGTCATATATATATATACTTAAAGGAAAAAGAAACGCATAATAAACTTTTGAATAAAATTAAAACTTTGATTTCCAATATGTTTTCCAATATTGTTATCAAACATTTTAATTCAACACTAAACAACAAGTAACCGAAATCTTGTGTGACTTTGACTGACAATTCCTCAGTTATTGAAATTGATATGTCGATACCCCCCAAAACTGAAATAAAAATTCTAATCATCTCCCTTGCGCATAAGTAACAGCCTTGATTTTCTTGTGCATTAAGTTCACCAGAGCATATTTCAAGGATTATCATTCAAGCCTTCCGACGGTTGTCTTAATGGTTGAGAGTAGCTGTATTATTCCAAAGCCAACAAATCCCCCGCCCAATGAATCCCATGAATTTCCGATTTAGGATAGAATTTACAGAATCTAGCTGATTTGGTACACGTGAATGTTTGTAAGGAAGTATTGACAAACACTGGCTACATTTTCTCTTAAAGTTGCCAAGCTTGCGTACCAAATTAGAGAAGAGAGTTTCTGTCAGTATTAGGGTGAAAATATGAGTAGGATTGCCTGCCGTAAAAATATCGGTTTCAGTAATAATGACTTGACAATAACCGAGGTAGCATGATGAAAAGCCCTATCTTGATGTGACATTTCACCCTCATGGTTGGTTGGAAACCTTTTAAGTTACTCTCTGACAACCGAAAAAAACCTTTTTGGTTGAAAAGTTAGAAACAAACTTCACAGCAACATGTTGTTGCCTTTTTATTCACTTATGCAACTCAATTACTTGACCCAATGTTACTTCTGTCAGCCATACCATGATTGCAAGAAATTTATATTGACTGCAAATATCAGAAAATGATGTCTATAACTCTAATGCATCTCTTGGCACTACAAAATGTGATCACAAAATTGTCATCATCAACATGCACGTGTATTTGGCTTTTTATCACTTCCCCTACGTGACACCATACATTTCATGGTTGGTTAATTTTGACCAGTGATTTTAGTGCACAGTAACCAAAATACATATCTGACCAACTTTCATAATTTTCGGCCACATAGTTAAATATTTTTCGCTATTATGCTATTATGCGTTTCTTTTTCCTTTTAGTATACATGGAGAAAATGATTGAATACTGATGATTTAAGATTAATAAGATTATTTTATATTTTTATGTACATGTACTGCCCAATGCAAATTATAGGGAGGTCCTTTGGGTTCACTGTAAATTTTAGGGGGCTGTTGTGTTTCGTTGTATCAGAATATACATCAGTGTCTATTCCTAATGACTTCACATGTACAATTGAGATCACATATTTCATTAAACTGACAGTTACTAATGTAAGGAATTTTTAATGACTAGAAATTCTGTTCATTAAATTAGAAAAAGAAATTGTATTGGTATAATGAAGATGTATAATTAAAAGGTTATTAGGTCACCTGAGTAAACTCAGGTGACCTATTGCTATCCGTTTTCGTCAGGCGTCGTGTGTTAACATTTGAACATTTTCAACTTCTTCTCTGAAACCAATTTTGGCATACAGCATCTATGGGTGAAGGGAAACAAAAATTGTGAATTTCATGGTCCCTGCCCCCCTGGGGCCTTTGGGGTGGGGCCAAAACCACTAAAATTAGTGCAATCTTTAAAAATCTTCTTCTTTACTCTTGGACATCAAGCAGTCAAACTGTTGGTATGACTGTAATCAGCATTGAGTCCTCTACCAAAATTGTGAAATTCATGGCCCCAGGGTCAGGGGTTCTAGTGCTAGGGCGGGGCTCTGTTGATTATATAGTGAAATTGCATTAATTCTTTGAAAATCTTCTTCTCTGCTCCTGGGTATCAAATAAACAAACTAAGTACATAGTTTTGATGAGCAAGAGTGCCTCTTTCACAATTGTGAATTTTATAGCCCCAGGGTCAGGGTTTCTGGTGTTAAGACAGGGCTCTATTGATTATATAGTGAATATGCAGTAATTCTTTAAAAATCTTCTTCTCTGTTCCTTGGTATCAAATAAACTAACTTAGTACATTGTTATGATGACCAAGAGTGCTTCTTTCACAATTGTGAATTTTATAGCCCCAGGGTCAGGGGTTCTGGTGTTAGACTGGGCTCTATTGGTTATATTATGAAAATGCAATTATTCTTTTAAAATCTTCTCTGCTTCTGAGTATTAAATAAACAACATAAAGTACATAGTTATGATGAGCAAGAATGGCGTCTCAACCAAATTTGTGAATTTTTACGTCCCGTTTCAAGGGTTTTGCCATTTGTTTTAGGGGGGGGGGGGGGACTCTTTTGATTATATAGTGAAAATACATTAATTCTTTGAAAATCTTTTCCTTTGCTCCAGGGTATTAAATTATGCTAATGATCTAAGTATAAGTTGTATATATATATATATATTTTTTATTTTTTTGATGAAAAAAGGTGCATCTAGCAAAACGGTTAGTTTCATCCCCCCCCCCCCCCCCCACCCCCCCCCCCCCCCCCCCCCCCCCCCCCCCCCCCCCCCCCCCCCCCCCCCCCCCCCCCCCCCCCCCCCCCCCACATAGTCTGAAAATAAATTAATGCTTTGAAATCTGCTCTTTGGTATTAATCAACCATTTATGATGAAATAAAATGATAAAATTTTCAACATTTTGAAATAAATGGCTCCAGGGTTAGTGGTTCTTTTGGGATGAGGTGCATAACTGGTTATAAAGTGAAAATGATTTTCTCTTTGTTACTCTGATCTACGTCTGGGTATTAAGTAACTAGAGTAAGCATGCTAAGTGTATAATTATGATAAGCAATAGTGCCTTTTTCAAAATTATGAATTTCATGGCCTTTGGTTTAAAACATGAAATAAATTCAATTGTCAAAAGTTGTTACATGATCCTCAGGTGACCTATAAGGCCCGTGGGCCTCTTGTTAACTAAGAAATATGCCCCCTTCAACATCTGATGGAAGTGGACTTAGCTTAATATAAACAGAGACCTTGGGAATGTATATAACATTAATATTGATTATTTTGTTTTACAGCTGTAGGACAACCAGTTGGAAAAGGACAGAGTTTCCCTCTGAATGCTGTCCAGATCATCCAGCAGCCAGCTTCAGGAGCAACAAGACAACATCTGACCTACTCTCTACAACAATTCATGCAGCAAAACAAAGGCTCTGGCATGATCATCACATCTCAACCTATCATCACAACAGTAACGCAAAGTCAACAGCCCACTGGACAGATGGTGACTAAGGTGCTTCCTACCTCAGCTGTTCCCACAACTCACCTCCAGACCTTGTCTGCTACCCCTATCTCAGTCACTCACGTGTCGGCTGTACAGGCCTCCAACGTGACGGCCCAGCCAGCTGCCACTTCTATCAGTCTCACAGGGGTAGGTGGCCAGGCAGGCAAACCTCTCACGGTCACTACTGTAGCTCAGGACGCCAGCACCGGCACAACCATACAGGTACAGCCCGCAACAACAGGCACTCAACAGGGATCACAAACCACAACACAGCAGTTAATACCACAAACTCAGGTCGTACAGCAGGTGCCTCTAGCTTCACACACACCACAGAAAATTCTGACACAGACGGCCCACCAAATACAGGTCACTCCCGGATCCATTCAGCAAGTTCAGGCTGGCAACATAGCTCAGGCTGTGTCTGCTACTCCCACAGCAGTGACACTGACCATCACCCCGGCAGCTCAGTCTGCTCCCAGTACTGGGACCCTGATCCAGCAGCCGGTGGTGGTGACACAGGCCGTACAGGCTACATCACAGCCCAGCACCGTCACATCTCAGGCAGCACTGGCGGCGGCCGCGGCGTTACCTACCACCACGGTCACCGTGGCTTCTGCTGTCCAGTCTTCCACTCAGTCACAACAGACAACACCAGGGTCTGCTAAACCCGCTGCGCCTTATGCCATGAGAACCAGAAACCACCCCAAAACTTGAGTTATACTTACACTCTAAGGAATTTAGAAAACGTAACATGTTGTGATGTTGTGTGATTTTCACATTATGGACTCATATTTGACAGGTTGTGCTTTACTGATCATGCTGGATATGGTAGAAAAAAATCATGCAAATTTTATGTGCTCTGTAAAGTATATCGGATTTCAACACAGGGTTTTCTATGTAAAGTAAGCAATTATTTTGAACATATCTACTGTGTATTTATACAGTATGTACAGGTATTTTGTATAAATAAAAAAACATTGCTTTGTACATAAAATATGTATTTAATATGAAAACTAAAATTTTTAGTTATTTCATCTAGATAATCCTACTGGTGTACAGATATGGTCAAGTCATGACTAATGGGCAGATAACTCTTTTGACTTGGTATTCCTGTCATTTAATTTCTTTTTTATACAAAAATGTTTGTAATATCTGTTAGATATACCTATAAAGAATGAAACTTGAAGAGGTATTTTTTGTGTTTGTATCATTGTTCAGATGGGAGTTGAAGCAAGTTATACAAATATGAAAATGAATCATCCATGAAAAACTTGATTTTCATCTTTGTATTTATTATTATAGTCTAGAAAATTAACATTTTAATGTCAATTTAAGAATTGATTGCTTTGATTAATGCAGGTACTTTTATCAATATAATAGACTACAATATATACACTCCCCATTCTATTGGTAAATGTCAGCAACTTTGTGCACTATGACAACAATATCCATATAAGGTAGTTTCCTCGACCTGATAAGTCATGTAGAAGTTTCCTCTGATGCTGATCCTGCTCTACTTTTTAAATGTACGAAAATGGGTTTGAAATCCCAGAACAACAGGGCCATGATTCAATGATATAAGTATGCAAGCATTCTCAGGAAGAGCAGATTCTAGTTTGCTCAAAGCATGGCCACTGTGGGATAGGGTCAGGCTTCAATAGGATATGAAATTTTTGCATGGGGATATATAGGAAAAGATCTTGTGAAATTTTCCTTTCAAAACAGGGCAATAGTAAAATTAATTTGAAATATTTTCAGTTTATATCGGAGGATATCTTGTTCTCTCACCTGGCATTTACCCCCAAGAAAAAAAAAATGTTAAAAAATAATGAAATACTGTTGAACAGATATTGCTTTCAGCAACAATAACAGGGAGTTGCTAAGACAGAGCTGAGTAGGAAATACTTGATATTTTATAAGCAGTAGGGAACTGGTGGAACACACTTTCCATATTGTAAATCTGTGATGAATGTATACGTATATGCAAAATAAGACATGGATAACGTTTGTAAAATTTATTAAAAAGAATAAAACTGTGTAAATTCAACATTTCAAAATAAAATAGTTGTAAAATGTATAAAGAAGTATAAAAATGTATAAATTAAGTTTATAAAATATAATGAGATCTTATAAGAGACCACAGTAAAAAGTGTCAACTTGGCATAATTAACAGGGCTGTCCCAGCCAGTCCTGCGCAATTGACTTTGGGTATCCAGGAAGGATTCTGTGATTAGTGGTGTCAAAAACTGAATACCTAGAAAAATAAATGACCAATTAATTTTTAAAATACACAAAGAGTATTTATTATCCCTCTATATTTCATCTGTTGATTACGTACACCACGTATAGCATATATTTGTACTAGTACCTTTAATGCTAATTTTGATATAGATGTTTTATACCTATATATATAGTATCCAGTGAACTTACTTGTATCCTT